AGGGAGAGGGAGAAGCAGGCTCTCCGCTGAGCAGGGAGCCCGATGCGGGGCTCGATCCCAGGACCCTGGGATCATGACCTGAGCTGAAGGCAGCTGCTTAACCAACTGAACCACCCAGGTGCCCCCGCCCCCATCATTCTTGAGTCCCTGCTCTCTTATTGGCAAGGAATATAGATGTCCCCCACTCATCTTGTACTTTCCATGCCCCAGGCCTAGAATCAGCCACTCCGCAGGCAGCCCTGGTTCACTGTGGAGGAAAGTGGTATGTGGATACCAAGTCCCGGGGCGGAGGCGGGTCCCTGGCCGGCTCAGTCGGTGGAGCGTGCGACTGTTGATCTCAAGGCCATGAGGTCAAACTCCACCTTGGGTGTGGAGCCTACTTTTATTTTGTGTACTTATTTATTTGAAGATTTTATTTATTTAATTGACAGAGCATGCACAAGCATTGGGGGGGCGGGCATCAGGCAGAGGGAGAAGCAGACTCCCTGCTGAGCAGGGAGCCCAGTGGGGGACTTGATCCCAGGACTCTGGGATCATGACCTGAGCCGAAGGCAGACACTTAACCAACTGAGCCACCCAGGCGTCCCTGGAGCTCACTTTTAAACAAAATGTTTAAAATATGCTCCCTTCGTCCAGAGGTGGAACCGAATTCCCCACCTCTTGAGCATGGGCTGGATTTTAGATTCCAGGACCCAAGTGCTCGGTGTGCTCACTGCTGCTGGGGTGTCACTTCCTGCAGGCCCCCAGCGCAGGCTGAGAACAGATGAAGTATTCACGCCTGCATGCACACACGTACATGTGCTGTGTGCACGTGTCTGCACATCCACACCCACGCACATCTCTGCGTTTCCCAATTCCTGTGAAAAACCCGTGAGTGCAGACTGATCCCGGCCAGCAGTGCGGCCTCACCTCCGCCCCCCTTCCCGTGTGCGGGAGCCTTCTCTCCAGCGGGACGAACGCCGTCTGAGCCCACAGGGCGAGTCGGTCCCCAGCCGCTAGCCCCAGGCTCATGCAAACGACGCTGCAGACGAGAGCTCAGTATTTGCGTGGCGCGGGTTTTGTCTTTCTCGGCAGCGTCTTCCGTCCAGGTGCTCTGTTCAGAAGTGAACTCAGGTCCCTTGTCCCTTCAGTATTGTGTTTGAAAATTGAAATACGGTTTGGTGGATTCTTTTGTTTCATTGTATGTTCCATGTAGTGGGTCTTTATGGCCACCCTTGTTCATTTTGTTTGTTTTTGAGTTTATGCCCGTCAAAGTGGTTGTTGACTGTTGAAGTCAGAACTGTGAAAATCAGAATCGCAACTGTGTCTGCACACAGACAGGTGGCGCCCCCAGCGGGCATTACGTGTCACACAAGGACAGCCCGGTGTTGCGCGCGTGCTCGGCAGGCTGGCCAGAGCGGGAGGAGCAGCGGGGAAGGAAAGTGTTTAATAAGTCAGGCCACTCTCTCTGCTGACTTGTCACTTAACGAATCTTCTTCCTTCTCCAGGAAGGATTTGATGCCTTGGATCCCTTTATTCCCATCCTGGTCTCCAACTACAGCCCAGAGGAGTTTGAAAGCTGTGTTCAGTATTATCTGGAGAACAGCTGGCTTCAACATGAGAAAGGTCGGTCATAGAACTTTCCGTCCGGGCTTTGTGTTCAGTCTCACCGAGTCAGAGCCTTATCTCCTCCTGCGGCAGCAGCCTGCACTGTCTCTCTTTCTCCCTTTGTCTTGACTTCTCTCTGGCCAATGAGGCGGTAGGAAAGGTGGGGGGACAGGGGTGGTTACAAGACAGCGCATCTCTTCCCAAATTCTCACGTCGGATGAGATGCTCGTGCTGGAAGCCCAGCCCCATGCACGTGAGAGGCCAGCCGGCGCCAGGCCAGCCCCTCGCTCGGCTGTCCCGGTCTGCAGACACGAGCGCCTTGGGCCGTGCGCTGCCGCCTTGCCCCCCGCCCCCGGCGCGGGCGAGCAGAGGAGAGGCCGAGGTGGTTCTGTCGCTGGGTGAGAGCGAGCCAGCTGCCGTTGGAGGGGGTCGTTCGAAGACCAGAGGGAGGAGTAGAAAGCAGCCTTAGCACGTGGTGGGCCGGGAGGCACAGTGCAGAGATTTTGGAGGGGGTTGGCATTTGGCAAAGTCCGAGAGTCCGGAAGATGTTCTTGGAACAGAGCGAGAGACAGATGCTAGATTACAGAGGAAGAGAGACAGAAAAAAGAATCGTTTGCTGGGAGAACGGATCTAGAAGTGCGGTCTCTCAGCAGTGGTCATGACATTCCAGCACCATCTGGAGCACGCAGCCTCTGAGCACAGAGTTTTCTGGGCAGCACGGTGCTGCAGACAGAGCTGCGAGCTGTGTGCGTCTCCCCCCCGCTTTAGCTCAGACAGAAGAAGGGAAGAAGGAGCTGCTGTTCCTGAGTAACGCAAACCCCGGGCAGCTGGAGCGGCTCTGCGCCTACCTTTAAGCCGCGGTGACGGCCCGCCTGGAAGACAGGGGACATTTCCTGTCCTGGACCCAGTCAGACGGGATGTGGCCAGGACGAGTCAGCTCCCAGCCTTCGGTGAAGACTGACAGTAGTGGCCTGAGATGTCCTCTTGTTCCCGAAACTAGTTTATTAGGTGGGGTTTTCATGTTTTAAGTAATTATGGATCTTTCCCTTAAATAAATTATCTTTCTTAAAGTGTTATGTTAGATTTATAAAATGGAAAGAGCCTTCGATTGGCCAAATTGAATTTCTCCAGCATTCTGCTTGCGAGGGGTCTGAAGAGACCAGATTCTGCAGAAATTTCCACTAGTTCTATTTCCAGACTTGATTCAGGTCAGGAGATCGAATTTGCCCCTTAAGTTCTCCCTCCCACGCCGGTCCGCTGGCTCCCACGGTCGCCTCTGCAGGGGCCCGAGTACTACGGACGGATGGAGGGAGCCCCTCCTTCATGCACATGTGCATGCCAGCTTGGGGAGATTTGAGAAAATAGTAACTCCAATCAATTTCCGTGGCGTTGAATTCCCTGTCCTACCCCCATTGTAGTGCTCGAGGCCGAGTCTGCGCCCCAGCTGCCACTTACCAGCCGTCTTGGGGCCCCGCAGCCCCCGTCCTGCCCTGTGTCACCTGATCGAACTTTTGGGCCGTTTGTGAGCACTGAATCACAGTGTGTGTAAAGTGCCTCACACATGGGCGGTACTCCTTCAGTGGTCAGCCGCTACCATTTTGGACTTGATTTTATAGCACTTTATCTGAAAACTGGCCACGAGGGAGATGGTCTGTGGACGTGCATCGGCGTTTTCGCTGCAGAGGGAGCTTCCCCCATGCTCAAAACGCCTCAAGGCTCCCTCTCAGAACCCGACCTTCGCCCTGACCCAGTCCTCAATCAGGTCAGCTGGCCTAGGGTCCAGATCCCCACCCTACAGCGCCTGCTCCATCAGCCCCCAGCTTCGGGAGGCTGGAGGCCTGTTCCAAGCCCTGACATGCCCCCACCATGGACGGTCAGGTCTTCAGCTCTATCTTCACAAGAGTCAAAGCCCGTTGTCCTCTCCATCCTCGTGGACTGCTGTCACACCCGTCACCTCCTGTTTGAGCTCCTACACGTGTTTGCCAGTCTGCTCTCTACCCACACCCCTGCCTCCCCCTCTAGCTGCCGTTGGAGGGGGTCAGCCCCCTACACAGGGCCACTGACCTGAGCTGTCCTGCAGCTGGATCGTTGGGCGGCTTCCATACACCTTTATTCCTACTGTTTAGCCATGTTCAAACCATAAAGAACCATGTATCATGGAAATCAGCCTCCTTTCTCGCCTCCTTTTCTAGAAGAACTTCTGTTACCGAATTCTGGAGATAAAAGTACACACATAAATTGGGTTTTTTTTAAACACTAGAGCGTGCTCTTCTGTACTTTGGTGTTTCCACATAGCTTGGAAATTTTCCCTGTCAGGAGTCTGTCTTGTAAGTTGAGTGCCCTCGCACTCATTTCATTTGAAAAGGGAAGGAATGAAGTGGTGCCCACAACCTCTGGGAAGGGCCGCATCCGCTCTACACTCGGATGCCGGGACCGTGTCTGAGTGGGCACCTGAACTCCACTGCAGAGGAGGCCAGGACAGTGGCTTCCATCTCTGGGCGGCAAAAGTCAGGATCAGTAGGCCTCATTTTCGCTAATGAATGTGGAACAGGAAGTTGTAGGGCTAGACCGTCAGAGATGTACAAAGATCCCGCTGATGAATTAGCATCATTACTTCTGTAATTCACTAAATGTCATCTGTAATCTACTCTGTCCAGTCCCCTTTCTTAAGATCCTTCTACAGACCTGACCCTCATGCCCTGATTGCTACTGTCTCCCTGCTGCACCTGCCCCACAGCTGGTCTCTTGGGGCTTCTCTTACTCAACTGCATGGAATCCAGATTGGAAAGTAAAAAACCCAGGGACGCCTGGTGGTTCATTCGGTCAAGCGTCTGCGTTTGGCTCAGGTCATGATCTCAGGGTCCTGGGATCGAGCCCCGCGTTGGGCTCCTTGCTCAGTGGGGAGCCTGCTTCTCCCCTCCCTCTGCCCTTCCCCTGCTTGTGCTCTCTCTGTCAAAGAAATAAATAAAACCTTAAAAAAAAAAGGAAAGTACAAAGTCCAACTGTCATTATTTTCAGATGACATAATTCTCTATAGAGAAAACCTTAAGTCTCAAAAGATCTCCCACAACTAAAAATAAGTTTGGCAAGGTCACAACAACTCAAGATGAATATACAAAAGGCAACTATATTTCTAACAACGAGATACGCAAAATGGAAATTAGGAAAGTAATTCTATTCAAAATAGCAGGAATGTAAAGTACTTAGCAGTTTTAGCAGAAGAAATGCAAAATTACACACCAAAAACTATAAAACATTACTGAGGGAAATTAAAGAGGATCTAAATACATGGAAAGAGAATCTATGTTCATCAGTAGTGTTTTTTTGCTTTTTAAAGATTTTATTTATTTATTCATTAGAGACAGAGAGAGAGGCAGAGGGAGAAGCAGGCCTCCCGCAGAGCAGGAAGCCCGATGTGGGACTCGATCCCAGAACCCCAGGACCATGACCCGAGCCAAAGGCAGACGCCTAACGGCTGAGCTACCCAGGTGCCCCTTCACCTGCTATTATTATTTTTAAAGATTTTATTTATTTATTTGACAGAGAGACACAG